GTGTGTGTGTGTGTGTGTGTGGGTGAGAGAACCAAGACTGGGAGCTTTTAATTTCTCTCACTGCAAGCATTGTGAATGGTTTCCAGACAAGTGGTTAAGCTTTAGGTATTTTGGCTTTTTTCCTTCTTTTCTTCCTCTTTGTTGTAGCATTCCTTTCCTTCTATTTTGGTGGAAAGTTGAGAGCTGCAGTTTGTTTCAGCTTTGTGCAGTGCCATATTTCCAGATCAAGGAAAAGTAAGGAATTGTTGACTGAGAAGTCAGTGTTCCTATACTATAATAAGTAGAATTTGGAGTCAGTATTCATCCAAGCCGTTTAATTGTTAAATGTAGACTGACATTTTACCTTCTGTTCAGAGAGCTGTGTATATTTAGCCAATATTTGATGGTCTTGCTACACACCTTGTATATTGAAGAGCTCTATATGCCTTGTACTGCATAACTAGTGGTGTCTGCTTTTGCAGCGCTAAAGCAAAACTTTGAACCCTTGTCCTGATGGGAAACTGGAGAGGATTTATTGTTAACTCTTTGAATTAGTCATTTCCAGCTCATGTGCTTCTACATATCTTTAATTGTATTAAATTAACAACTGGTGATCAGACTTCATTAAAACATTTCTGTTCCCCTGTTGAATAAAGGAGCAATTAACTATACATTTGAACTTGCTGTTACAATTTTTATGAAGTACTTACGAAAATAAGGCTGAGATGAACAGAGGTTAAAATTAATCTAGCAGCCTTACCTTTTTAATAAGATACTTTTAAAGCTTCCTCCCATGGATCTATTTTCAGTATAGGTTTACCAGACCAAATTTAAACAGTGCTTTAGGGAGGATTTAAATAATGTTGTTGCACACCTGAAACGATGAATTATCTCTCCCCCACACTTCTTTGTTTGATAATTTATGCAGTTGCAGTTGACATCCGAATAAATCAAAATGATATATGTTGTAGATATCCTACAGTCCTTGAGCTGTGTTTAGGAGTAGGGGTATGCTAAAAGTGCTAGTGTCTGGTCTCCACAAGAAGCTGCTTAGGAGAGGCTTTTCTTAGTAGTTTCCCTCCTATTCTTTTTCCATTTCTTGCATAGGCTGCTGCTTCTGCTGCTACCTGGCTTCTCACTAGATCTCTCCTCTTCCCCATTCCATGACACCACTCTGCCAGTCCTGTGGCTGGCTTTAGAGCCAGGTTTTGTGTTCTCTGTTGCTCATATCCCTGTGAATTTATTTTGCACAATCAAATCTTTCTAGAAGTTTAGCTGGGTTTAACTTAATCTAAGGATCATTTCTTCTCCTTCCCCCACATTTGCATTCACACCACTGCCCCTTCTCCCCCAGTCCTTTTTTTTTCTTCAGAGCCCACCCGTCCCACCCCTGGGGGCTGGGCTGCTGGCAGGCCAGGCAGCGCCTGACCTCTGATGGGTTTGATCCTTCTCCCATGCTGTCTTGCACTCCTCCCCAGCCTTGCTAGCTGTACCTGGCTAGGAGGAGAATATAAACAGTGAAGTAAAGTAAAATGAAATGAATTAAAATAAGAAAACAATGCTCTCCTCTGCTCATCCAAGCAAAAGGCTTGGGCTGCTTGTGCCACCCAGGATTCCCAGGTGGTCTCCCATCCAAGTATTAACTAGGCCCAGGACTACTTCGGTTCTGAGATCAGATGGGATCAAGTCAATTCAGTCTGGTCTGGCCATAGGTACTAGGGTGCCCACTTTTGAGGTCAGATCAAGAGAAAACAACCAGTGTAGCATGGGTAAATGAGGGGTGTAGTTCAGACTCTCTTATGTGACTCTTAAGGGGAGTACCCCTAAGAGATCCAGTTAAAGGCCACAGCAGGTTTTGAGCCCAGTGTCTCCTTGTGGTTCCTGCTGGGATGCTGATGCAAGGCATAGCTTGCCAGTCTGGGCTCAGTATGGTTGGCTGGGGAGCTGTTCCCCAGCCCCGTGGTGCCTTGCCAGTGACAGGAGTATGTATGGCAAAAAAATTCCTGGCTGCTAGATAGTTTTTGCAGCTGGCCATAGGTATGGCTACATGGAATATTACAAGTGGCTGAAGAGGGGAGGGGGGGGCTATGGTGGGCTATTCTGCTCAGGCTAATGGCGTGGGCCTTAAGCCATGTGGTATAAAGTTGACAAATCCTAGCTGGGACTGGCTGGCAGCGACCTTCTGTCAAGCCCTCTGGGCTGGAGGTGGTATTGATGGTCCTTTGTGCTGGTTGTGAATTGAGACCAGGGAACCTCTGAGACTTTCCTTTAGGCTCATTGGGAAGCCCTGAGCTGGGGGGTGGTGCTGTCCAGCTCCTATAGGTGTTAAGCACTAATAGTCATTTGTCCCTAGGTCTCTGCTGCCACCCCTTAAGGCACTCAATCTGAAACGTAATGAAATTGACAGATCTTTGACAGTTGGGCAGTCTGGTGATGATTACTTTCTCTGGGTCCAACCAGGTGCATGGAAGACTTCAGAGTCAAACAGTTGTCACATTTATATAGTAGTGTTGGATGGGCCACCTGGAGCTACTGCTCCAAATAACTCAAAAGGGGTATCCCTTGGGGTTCAGTAAATAGCTGCCCTGACAGCAGGATAACCCACTAGAGAAATGCAAACAGTTGCCCTGGGGTTGGCACAAGACTTCGAAAAGGTTTCTCTGAGCACCTGGTCGACTTCCCATAAGAATGAATGGGGTTTAGCAGTTGTCGTCTGAGCACCTGCAGAAGTCTGAGGGGTTGCTACAAATACCAGTTACCAACTTCACTTCCAGGAGCTCAGTTACAAATATAGGCTTGCCCTGGTGACCGTCCCCAGTGCTGGGGCTGCACAAACCCTTTCGTAGGGTTCCTGTAGTTATATAGGGAGAGGGGGTGTCTGCGTGCCAGTTTACTAAGAGCAGCCTAGGGGACTAAGCTGAGTGTTCTCCCTGGCCAATGAAGGAGGGAAGGCAGACACTTGGGCAGTTAACAAGGGCCCCCCGGGACCATGGACATCCACCAGGGGATGTGCCAGACTGCTGTTCCTGACTCAAGCTTCAGGAGTCTGACCACAAATCTAAGTTTCCCCTGGTAACTCCCATGGGCACTGACGTTTCAGGGATCCTTTTGTAGGGTTCCTGCAAACTGACAAGGAGCAGGGGGTCAGTACCCAGCAACCATCTAGACCCGCAAAGGTGAGCAAGCCAAGTGTTCTCGTTGACTGAGAAGGGGGAAAGGCGGACACCTGGCTAGTCGACCAGGGCTCTTGGAACCACAGAAATCTGCCAAGAGATGCACTAGTCATTAGTGCAGGGGTCAGCAATTATTTTGGAGGGCCACTTAGCAAGTTTGGGTGAGCTGTTTGAGGGCCATGCACAAAATATTTAAGCTGATACCACTTTAACAAATTATAGATAAACAAATCATATACTAAAATTCAAACATCTAATATAACATTTGAATTTTAGTTCAGAAAATTTTTTTTGAGTAGTGTGTCTATAGAGGCAATTGCATATTGGCTCAAAATAGTCTTAGTCTTATTCTCATATTGTGTGTGGTGGG